CATTTGGTATTTTCTCATTTTCAACTACATTGGATGTTTTTTTTCTATAAATATAGTAACTATGATAACAAATTAGTACAAGATTGTCAACATGTTCATGGTGTAATACAAGTGACTTACCGGTATGTGATGGACCTGGACCGGTGCTCTGGACTCGGGCTTTGTAGTGTTATGGGCCGATGAATAGTTATCTTCTGTCCCTATTGCTGACCTAGGGCTCGGATGATGGAATGATGAGCAATGTTAGTGTGCAACTATGATATTTCAGTGCAAGGTGTCAAAAAAATGATGATGGGTCAGTCTGTGGACTGTTTTAATTTACTCAGTTAAATAAAATATATGTGTTAACTATTTTTATATTGGTTTTGAATTTAGTTAATCTATCAGAAAAAAGGATTTATTTCTCGCAGACAGCCCTCAATACTATACACCAACTCGACACTGAAGCTAAAAAAAATCTAAAACATAATAGTATATGGAATCGTCCAAACGGATAACCTAATATTGATATAGGTGAAATATGTAGATTCAGAATTGTGTACACAGAAATAAGATCAGAAATAAAGCCCTATGTAAGGTGAAAACAATAACACAACTGTATAAAATCATTGTTTATTAAATTTGCTTGCATAAGAACCATGAAGTTAAAATTTATAACGATTACGTGTATTCTGTCAACCCCTTTTCTTCATTGCATCAAGGCTTCCGTTGCTTTACATCGAGCAGTAATTCAACCAATCTGGGAATGTTAAGTTGGGACATACCTCTATTTTTGGAAGCGTGATCTTTACATCGAGGCTTGCGTTGCTTTACACCGAGGCCACAGTAGTTCGACCAATCGGGGAATGTTTATTTGGGGCATGTGACCTATTGAACTGCAGGTTTTATAATATTTTAATTGAAATTGTAGAAAAATGAAATGTTGTTAGTACATACAAAACAGAAAATGATGAATACTTTTAGTAAAAGATAATTTGGATCCGGGTTCTGTGTATTCACATCATTTGTACAACTCTCCTTACTGATGCCATTTTTTGGAATTTCTGTGACCTAAATGGTTCGCGAAAATTAATATTTTATTATATAGTATAGTAATAATCGGCGGTGAATTTTTAAAAGCCGAAGATTTCGACATTAAAATAATCGGCGGTGAATTTTTAAAAGTCGAAGATTTTGACATTGAAAATAATCGCCGGGGTCTTTAGTTTTAAAAGCCGAAGATTTTAAAATTGATAATAATCGGCAGGATTCTAAAAGCCGAAGATTTATTTAAATCCATGTATTTCTAAGGGGAAAATAATAATAATCGGGGGGTTCACTGTGGCTTTCCATATTAATGGATGTATAACGTTTTAGAATCACACACTTTATATATACCTATAATTTTAATTATTCAGAAATAATGAATCCACAAACTAGATGGAATGATTTGTATACGCTCGTCTTGGTCGGAACACATAATGGTTTAAAGAAGTCCGTCCGTTCGTATGTCTGTCCGTCTGTCAACACAACAGTGGCGAAGGAGTGCGCTAGGGCAAACTTCTGAAATTGACGCGACAAAATAAACCCACACATCTAGTCTAATATATAGTCAAATAGTCTGTTAGTTAGCCAGTGTCATCTTTCATTTCACTTTTTATTTTCAATGATTTTGCTAACGAGAGGGAGAGGACAAAAACAGACTTTCCTTTCTAAAGCGGCGTATAAGGTTATTTCGAACAATTTTTCATTCCGACGGATAGTGTTTCTGAAGGTTAATTTTGTGCGGCAACAACATCATGAGATCTGATACTGATACATGTATGTGATCTCTTGTATTACCGGATAATAAAGTAGGTGAATATAGTTGTTATTCTTGAAAATTTAAATGTGGGTTTCAAACGTCCAATTTGCGATTTTTTTTTCAAATTGTGCGCCAGCACGGAAAACTTGTACTATGACGTCAGATTCAATGTTTTGAAGAAAGACAACTCTTTTCTTCAAAACGAACGAGAAAAAAAAAAAACAGGAAAATTACTCATAACTTTTTTGAAAGGTCGGTGGCATGTACTTTTTTTTGCTTTATTTTGAAGAGTACACATTACACTTTTCTCCTTGAAATTTTTATGAAGAAATCAGTGGTAGATATTTTTTAATACTTGGAACATTTTCCATTCTTACGTTTTATTTTTGGCGGGAATGAAATAAATCATATTTTTTTAAGATCAAAACAATAAGAGTCTTAAACTCTTGAACCTTTATTTGATAGACACACATCTACTCTTTAACGTGAAACAAGAATTGTGCTTGTATAGTTGATATAATGGGATTTTTTTTAGAGTTTAGATAACAAGCAAATATCATGTTAATATTAGGGAAAACACGAAACTGAGGTTGCTATAGTGACAAAACTAAGTCGGTGACCCCCAATTTTTTTAATCATATTTTGTTCCTACAATCATAAAATACCTTCACACAAAATTTTAAGGAAAAATCACTGGTAGAACTGAATAGGCTGTTTGGTCTTTAAAGTAAGATGGTAATATACGAAGATGATGTTATAAAATCGTGTTGACAGATATTTCGGCTTAACAAATAGCTTTCGTCAGTGTCAATAATTTTTACAATTATACTAACTGTTTGTGTAAAATAGCTCAGTAATACAGGAAAAATAAATTTCTAGAAATATTATTGGTTAAAAGCTACCGCGTGGAGACTGTGTATATTTCATATGCGGTTAGTAGGCGGAGCTTATACTGATACACGGTTAGTAGTGGTGTTATGTCCCTTTATAAAACCAATACGGCGTTGAGGAAAAACCTGAAACGTTTCTACAAAGAAAGAAATTGACGATGAACGATCGACATAAATGCAGAAAACACACTAAAAGCTAACAAGTTGTTAGTATTGGCAATTGTTTTTGTATAGACCAATAGAAGTAGGTTCTTTATATTGAAGAGACTTGATCACTTTGATAGGCTACTAGTCTAAATGCCATTTGTTGAGATAGTTGGTAAGATAAATTCGTTACACAGCGTGCCAGTGACCTTATACGATATATATGGGGTCAATAAATTCCATATGGGGTTCGAGCTAGAGTGTGTAATATATGTGATCGCTTTATTGAAGACGAAGCGTAAAAAGACATGTTATGCCAAGATGTTCATTTTATGACGATTTTAGAAACCATTTATATTATGTTGCTGAAACTGTTAATGAAAAACTTAAGATGACAACCAAAAATTGGTGTTTTTATTCTCAGATGTAAATATGATACGTGTGTGTGCCAAAACCTGTTATTTAATTTTAAGAAGATGTAGAATTTTTATTGATTGTAAATATAATTATTTTATATTATGTAATTTAGTATATCTATGCATTTCAATATATAGGCTCTTATAATTCTGTATAGAATGGCTCTTATTTTATGTAGTATTTTGTTTCAACTTATAAAAATATCGATTGTACTTGTTGAGAGATGAGACTTTAATAAAACATCGAATTGAATTGGATTTTCCTTTAAAGGTTATGTTGTGCTGTTACATAACTGTCTCAGGTTAGGGGAGGGTTGAGCGCTCACAATAATTTTTAACTCCGCCACATTCTTTATGTGTCTGTCCCAAGTTAGGAGCCTGTTTTCATATTTGTTTTTTTTCGTAAATTGTTTTGTTATGAATAAGGCCGTTAGTTTTCTCAATTGATTTGTTCATATTTTCCATGACGGGGCTTTTTATAGCCGACTATACGGTATGGGTTTTTCTCATTGTTGAAGGCTGTACGGTTGCCTATAATTGCTTACATCCACTTTATCTCAACTTTGGTGGGAAGTTGTCTCATTAGCAATCATACCACATCTCCTTATTTTTATAAAGTATTTACCGTAATCGATTTTGATTGATTAATGGTTGCTTGAGTAACGCCCAAGGGAAGTTATTTCATGCAATGTCAGGACGTCGGTAAATAAATAAACTAAAATTTAAATTTCTTATAACATACAAAATTCAAACCGTAATTTTATTGAATTAAAATGTTATGTAAAATGAATCGTCACTAATATATATATATTTCCACAGGCGCTTGTGGAATGGAACCCCCCCCCCCCCCCCCCCCCTTTTCTATATATATTGTTTTGATGTTTTAATTATTTTTAGTAAATATCTTTTTAATATTTTAAGTTAGTTTCCCTTGTTAAATACAGTGTGTATGTTCTTGCTCTTATCCATACAATTCTACAATAACAATTGTAGAGGGTCAACTGCGGTTCATTGTTAAATCGTATGGAAAAGAGCAAGAACACATTAAATAAGTAAAAATTATATGGGAACATTTCCTAACAAATATTAAAACACAAACAAAATGTACATAAAATGGGGGGGGGGGGGGGGGGGGTCGATTCCTCTAGCGCCCAAGTGTATTTCAGGTTTTTTGTTATAATTACTGAAGTCAAAAATACAACAAAGCCCTAGATCCTTCTTAGAGTGCATTTCTTTCTAACACAAACGATGCAAACGGCACATGTTTTGATCATCTGTTTCTATCATACGTTTGCAAAGTTTACATACACTTTGACAAACTATGCACTCGCTAAAAATGCGTCTACAGTTTGTCGTTCATCGTTTGTTAGTACAAACGCTACATTTGTTTCTAACTTCAGCCTGATTAAACGATGTACTTGTTTGAACTTTTGTAATAAGTGTGTCTACCAACAACATGTGCATGCATTATTGAAAGTTCAAACAGGGTCAGTAAACACTGATTAAACGATGTATTTGTTTCTACTCTTGTAGCGTTTAAGTAAACGATAACAAACGGCACACAATGTTTACAAAATTTTGGTTAGAAAGAAATGCACCCTTAGTTATTCCTTAATCAAGAATACGCCTTGTGCAGAGTGACATGTTTCTTTCCTTGTATTCAGATAAATGACCATATACAAATGTAGTTCACTAAGGCCTAGTTATTGACCAGTAATACCTGCTTATATCCTTGTTGATATGACTACATATATTGACGTACTTACCTTTAATGTTATAATAAAACATCGATCGATATTTATAGATATGTAAACAGCTACCCGGTTAATGTAGATCTATAAATGGTATTGTGAAACACTCGAGTTTTAACGAAAATAGACCCTTGTGGGTGAATGTGATATTCAAAAGGGTGCTGTAATGGCTAAGAACGTTCATCCTATATCACCTCCGGAGTATTCAGGACCAGGACCTAATTACGATGGCGGACCAAACCCCGGGATATATCCAGGGGCTGTGGAAATAATGACCCCAGATCGTATAGCAGATACAAGTAAGTAATTATATTTTCTAATGTCTGGTGTGTCCTCATTAGACATAGTAAAATAGATTTGTTTACTTTACGGTTTAATACCGCATTTCATAACGAGTACTCTTTATTCTATATCGCCAAACCCAAACAAATATATAAATTATTTAATAAATCACACATATATAGGATAAGTGTGCCTACAGGTGTAGCAGCCTTTAAGATAGTATTACAATAAACTTTCTTCAGACTAATGTCACTTCACAAAACACAGGCATGTACTACCAATCCAGCCATATAAAGTATACACACAATCAAAATCTATCTACAAGAGAGAACAAAATACATATTACAAGTTAGTATAATTTAATACCCACATAAACAATAATTAACGCAAAAAATGGTGTGTTGGTGGTAAAAGACAATTAAGAATAACTGCTACATAAACTGATTGGAAAACTTCGAATAAATGTAAAGGCATTCATTTAACCCTTTAAGTAATACTTATTCCTGCTTAACACGAATTTCAAGGCTGCATCTATCCGTAAAAACCGCATTGCAGAATACTTTGACAGAATATAAGTTACCCCATGATATTTGTTCCAAAGAACTTTTATCATATAACAAAAGTTCCATTGGGAACTTTCCTTATATAATATTTTATCCAATGCTATAAGAAAATTTCCTTCACAAAGGATAAAATATTACATAGTGAAAATTCCCAATGGAACTTTTGTTCAATCTTTTGTTCAAAGTTCTTTGGAATAAGATTTAAATATGATGGACAATGTTTTGATATTTGAAGGACCAAGAACAACATCAAATAGGGGTGACATGTATCATTAAACACAAATTCATTTTATTAAACAATACCAATATCAACCTGTTAAAATCTATATGATGCATTGACAATCAGAATCAGTCGTATACATATTTTGTTATAAAAGACCTTTACATGTGGGAAAAATTGACAGCAATGTACTAATATTGGGCAAAATTCATTATAGGATGTATACAAGGATGTTATAGACTGGAATTTGTAATTTCATCTGTGATATTCACCTTTGACCTTGAAAATCAATATTCTTAAGGATAAGGACTAATAGTTTACTAAGTTTGGATAAAATCCATTGAAGGATGTTGATTGTAGATTGATAAAAGTTTCAGAATTTTTTATTATGTATTAAAAGTTCCAAGAATATGTGTTATATAATAAAAGTTCTAGAAATATTTGTTATATAATCATGACACATGACACTCTTTCTTTTAAGGAACAAATATTATGAAACCATATGAAGTTTTAGATCCCGGAAAATATCTTATGAAGTTGGAAATAATATTATGTAATGTTTGTTCCCAAGAACATTTATTATCCATAGTTTTGTTCCAGGGGGAACAAGTATTATGCGGAACAAATATATGTTCACAATACGACATCCAAGCATACCTACATAAACATACATGTCCTTAGTATAAACATTATAAACATTAGACCATTACTATTAGATCATGTGACCGATAACTTTAATAAATATAATTTTATTTATAGACAAATAATAACACTCTTTACATTTGAAAAGTTCAGATAGGGTTCATATCATCATGTTTGCATGAAGGGGCTCGGGAAATCTTAGTCGATACCGTTATATCCTCTCTAACGAATGGAATCACTATTGTTTTCCCTCGTGTTTCCATGGGGTAGAGAACACACATCTTTATTAGGTAAGATTTCACAAGCCCCTGCAACTGAAGAAAAGGTGTGAGATAAAGAGGTACTTTCGAAATTAAGGCCAGCAAAAGTTATTGACATTAACAAAAGGAAAATCTCTAAACGTGCCACAGTGTAACACATCTGCTTCTTTCTTTGTTTAGTTGGACCAATTGGTTCAATACAATATGTAGCTATGCATATATAGTTTTGGATGAAATCACAACGGCAAACTGTTACGTTGATTTCTAATAAGAGTTTGAAAAATATCAAAATGTTATACTGTTACTGAATTTTTATCTCATTTTTCATATTGTTAAACTATCTTTGCAATATTTTCCAGACATTTTTAATGCATGACAGAAACCTGGATATATACCCATTATATATGCACTGTGTGTTTTATCAAAATAAACACTTGTCTATTTTAGATTTTGAGAGTTCTTTTTTACAAGCCTGCAAAAGTTGCCGGTAAAACACACAAACACCTGAATTTCATATGATACGATCTATTTATGTACTGTTTAAATCAACTATTGTTGTTCAGATATCTACTGTCCTCTATTGTTGATATCAATCAATACAATTCATTACAATTATTACCTGAGGGGAACGTCTCAAACAATTTCCCAAGCTTAGTTTATTTTTCGGTTAGAGCTAAAAAGGGGAATATCAAAATCAAGGAAAGTTTATAATTTTCTGAAACATAAACTGAATTTAAATATTTTAATTATTTATCTAGATCGCACCATGCTATTAAACGTTTCCAAGTGAACAGGTTTGTCTTTACTTATCTAATAAATGTTATGGTGTTCACTTGTTTATATTTGACAATTCATTTTGATGAACCTTGTCCACCGAACAAATTACCTATTAGGTCTTTTAGGTCTATTAGGTAAATATGTCAGTTTCAGCATCCCACCAATACAAAGGGATAGACACTTGATAGTCACAGCAGCTAATAGTCCAATTCACTGAGATACACTAAATCAAAATGAACTCTATATAATTATGAGTTAAAAATATATAGAATGTTGAGATCTACCTATTGTCTATTTACATCAACACTGTCAGACGACTTCTAATAGTTGTTGCATTTACATGCACGATTTTTACCATGGCCCAATATTTTACGTTTTTGCTTAATACATGTGTATCTTAAAAAGTATAAAAGATAGATAGAAACGTAACTAGCAAAATGATCAGCAAGACAAGACCTAAAAATAGATCAACTTCATGAATTCGTCAGTAGACTCCTTATTGGTCCAGGAGTAATTGCTCTTCAATGACGTTTTTTACAAATGTGTAGTGTTTTTGCCCATTTCCTTGAAAACTTTAAAGATAGAGAGACTCTATTATTGAAATATTGATTTGCAAGACAAGATCTACTATTAAGACAAATTTTGCCGATTTTCTTTACCATTTTTTGTGCTTTGGGCAAAAACTAAGGAAGATAGAAAGAACTGTGAAGAACAAGGAAATGTGATCCGCAATACAAGATCAACACAAAAAAGAGATTTTTGTCATAAAATCTTTTTTAGTCCAAAATGTTGGAGAGCGTACATTGTTGAAGATGCACATAGACTTCGGACAGCGACACATGCTCTCTAGAGCTTCTTGTTTACTCTAATACTTTTAGAATTTAAGACGACATTGAATTCTCACAGACAACGAAAATGACAACCGATATTAATCTAACCAGGGACAGACTTAGAAACGTATGAAAGTAGACTCGGGAAGGGGGGGGGGGGGGGTGTATTATTCCCAGAAGTGTAGAAGTCTTTTCTTATTATCGTAATGTAAACCTAAGGAAAGTTGGATCGAAGCATTACACCTATACTTAAAACTTATATCCTAAGGACATATAAAAAAAATACCACATGACCTACTGCCAATACATACATGACTTTGACCTATAATTGTGGTTTACTTTTACAATTTGTGACTTGGATGGAGAGTTGTCTCATTGGCACCCAAACCACATCTTCTTATATATATATGAAATTACGTTTATAAATTGTAGGTGTAGGTTACATTAATTTTGTACCAGGGAAATTAGTTTGCGATTCGCAGGATATCAGTATACAAGTGTCATACAAACATAACGATACAACAGATTACAAATACTGAAACTAAAAGATTTTTTTTTTTATCAGAACCATAAATACATGTGTCAGAACCATTAATGCGTGCATCTCTTTAAAATTTCAAAATTCGTACAGTTCTTATATATATATTTATTTACACGAACAAAATTAACTTCTTTAAATAACCGACAAAGCAAGTTTGTTTAAGTCTAGAGAAGGATGTCGCACATTTCCTACGGTTTCAGAAATCCAGATGCACGAAATAAAATATATGGCGCCGAATGACAAATGCTGATCAAAATTTGTAATCACAACTACATTCAGATGTCTCATATGAGACCCAACTATTCCTGTTCTACTAGTACGGTAACAAATTATTTTGAAAAAATGATACAATTTTGAAGTTATCTACTTGAGCTTTTGAAGTTGTGTTTCTTGTTTCAGCCCCTCCACCAGCATACGATTCAATTTTCATCAATCAGAGACAATCAAAACCTAACGTGCACCATGATGACAGAAATTTGTGGGAGAAAGTCCACGAATGGTTTGAATTTTCAGGTAAGTACATGTATTGTAGGTATACATTCACATACAAATTGGGTGTAATATGTAGAACTGTACTATAGTATCGTGTTGATATGAACAGGAACATGTTATATAAATCAATAAAACAAAAACAAAATGAAACAATATGAAAGAAGTAGTATGGCAAGCCGTTTAACTATTTATTCGAACTTTAAGATATCTCATATAATATATAAGATATCTTATAAAGAAAATTATATGAGATATCTTATAAATTATATAAGATATCTTAAAAACTATATAAGATATCTTATAAACTATATAAGATATCTCATAAACTATATAGAATATCTTATAAAATATATGAGATATCTGTCAAATCACACTAGAAATGGAATGTTAAAGAATATATATCATTTACTTGAAATATTTTTTATTCACAGAAGTCCGTATACAACTTTTGGATGAAAACCCCTTTAGAGAAAATATTCTTTGTGAACGTATAAGTTCTTGGTAGGTTTAAAGTTTTATTAGTCGATCCAAGAGCTCGTGTTGCGTACTGAAGATGAATGATTTTTTGTGTTCGAATGCACAATATACATACCTTGTTTTAAAGTGTCAACGAACATTGTTTATTATACTTCAGTCTAATGTATGATTTAATTTTATTCAAGGAAAATATCTTTGCATATGTAATGAAATCCAGCACATTTATGTTTTACAGAAATATGGAAACCTTTTTCATGACAATTTTTGACAAACATGATTGATGTTTTAGAAACGTGTTAACCAGATGGTCTGACCACAGTGGCTTGTTAAGTGGGTCAGATGAGGTTTTACTGTAAATGGCGGTCGTTATCCTTTGACAGTAAAACCTCATCTGACCCACTTTACAGGCCCTGCCACCGACTGCAAAACTTTAGCTGACCGCCCCTGCCATTGACAGTAAAACCTCATCTGACCAACTAAACAAGCCCCTGTGGGTCTGACTACATTTTGATTATGATGAAGCTTCTTGTTGAAAACTTGAAAACATGAGTTTTAATTTCCGTTTATGAATATTTATTCCGATGATGTCCGCGATATCAAAGTTGACATTCAATTGTTTTACAAAATGATGTTATTGTTATGATATGTTTGTTTTTTTCAGTCCTACAACAAATAATTTGGCTTGGTGCTCTCGCATTTGCGATATCCTACATTGTTTTCGGTAAGTCAGTATTAATGTAGTATATAATGGATGTGTATGTACATGTTATTCAATATTTGTAAGAATAATTATATCGTTATCTAGATATGTTGTTATCATAAAAAAAAAATAATATTTAAACCAAAAACTAAAAGGCTAGCCACCGTAGTGTTCGATAATGTAATGGAAATCATGTGTACATATATTTCGTTTGGAATTTGGGGTGTTTGCTTGTGTTTATACGAATATTTGGCTTCTCCTTTTAATCAGGTAAAATATGTTTGTATTTATTTCTAAAGGTTTGAAATATGCTGGTCAATGTTTTCGGAAAAAGTACGACGATGGACACGGAAAAGTCACAGAGGAAGAAGACCTCCCGTCATTCATGAAAATAGAGGGCGGAGTTTTGTGTGCATTGGTTCTTTTTGTCTTCTTTTGGCGATTACTATTCATCTGTGATAGGAGGCGGACACATCGCATCAACAAGGCAGATTTAGAAGGACGGAAAAAGTGTGGAGGCTACATGTTTTTCATTTGCATCGGTCTTTGCTTTGCAACCTTTGTTGTATGTATGGCAGGTACGTACTAAACACATCAACACATGACCGGTCAACACATGTGGCGTAATGTAACAAGAATTTTAAGATCTCAACTTTTTCTCTTGAGTTGTCAGAATTTTGAAATTTTGTTTAAAAACAAATCCATAATTTCAAAACGATATTTTTTTCTACAGTATTTTTTTTAAGTAAAAATGTTAATTTTAAATATTCAAAAGTGTTATTTTTTGGAATTTAAAGTGTGTAATTAAAATTAAAGAAAAATGTCAAATCTAAAAGTCTTTTGAATTTCGATTTTGAAAATAAATTTGTAGTTTTCGAGTTGAATTTCAAATCAAAACACATAATATATCCTGAAATATAATTTTTTCCTAAACATATAGTTCGTATTTTTGGGGATCAAAGTTCGAGATAGACTTCATCTTAATCTGTAATTGTTTAAATCCTGTCTTAATTTGACTATAGGAATTAAAATATATCCGAGCCAATATAAGCCTTTATGTTGTCGTTGAGTTGCTATCTCATTGACATATACCCAACTTCTATTATAGTTAATATATTACGGAGCCCTGTTGGTCTCACACAGATTATAAAGTGTCTTTTAAAGTCCTGCGCTGAAGATGTGTAAAGTCTAGCACTGGAGATGTAAAGTCTAGCGCTAGAGATGTAAAGTCTAGCGCTGGAGATGTAAAGTCCAGCGCTGAAGATGTAAAGTCTAGCGCTGGAGATGTAAAGTCCAGCGCTGGAGATCTAAAGTCTAGCGCTGGAGATGTAAAGTCAAGCGCTGAAGATGTAAAGTCTAGCGCTGGAGATGTAAAGTCCAGCGCTGAAGATGTAAAGTCCAGCGCTGGAGATGTAAAGTCAAGCGCTGGAGATGTAAAGTCTAGCGCTGGAGATGTAAAATCAATCGAATTATACGAATTCCAAACAAAAAGAAATTAGAAAATTCAGCAAAGAGTCAGAAACTCACTAAAATAAGTAAGAACATACCAAAACGAGAATAAAAAAAATTATAGACGGAAGAAGAAATGAAGCACACTATGACCAGCAAACAACCATTAGATAGCTGATAGTGGGGGCATAAAGAACCCTCAGATAGCTGATAGTGAGCATAAAGAACCCTCAGATAGCTGATAGTGGGCATAAAGAACCCTCAGATAGCTAATAGTGGGCATAAAGAACCCTCAGATAACTGATAGTGGGAATAACGAACCCCTAGATAGCTAAAAGTGGGCATAACGAACCCTCAGATAGCTGATAGTGGGCATAGCGAACCCCTAGATAGCTAATATTGGGCATAATGAACCCTTAGCTAGCTGAAAATGTGCATAACGAACCCTTAGAAAGCTGATAGTGGGCATAACGAACCTTTAGATAGCTGATAGTGGGCATAACGAACCCTTAGATAGCTGATAGTGGGCATAAAGAACCCTTAGATAGCTGATAGTTGGCATAACGAACCTTTAGAAAGCTGCATTCTGGTACAGGATTGTGTGAATGTTCGCCAACGTCGCCAACGTCGCAAACATTTACAAAATCATTACTGTTCGCCAACGTCGCCAACGTCGACAACATTTACGAAATCATTACTATTCGCCAACGTCGCCAACATTTACGAAATCATTACTGTTCGCCAATGTCGCCAACGTCGCCAACCTTTATGAAATCAATACTGTTCGCCAACGTAGCCAACGTCGCCAACCTTTATTCTATTCTATTCACTATCAGCTATCTAATGGTTCGTTATGCCCACTATCAGCTATCTATGGGTTTTTTAAGTCCACTATCAGCTATCTGAGGGTTCTTTATGCCCATTTTCAGCTAGCTAAGGGTTCCTTATGCCCAATATTAGCTATCTAGGGGTTCGCTATGCCCACTATCAGCTATCTGAGGGTTCTTTATGCCCACTATCAGCTATCTGAGGGATCTTTATGCCCACTATCAGCTATCTGAGGGTTCTTTATGCCCACTATCAGCTATCTGAGGGTTCTTTATGCTCACTATCAGCTATCTGAGGGTTCTTTATGCCCCCACTATCAGCTATCTAATGGTTGTTTGCTGGTCATAGTGTGCTTCATTTCTTCTTCCGTCTATCAATTTTTTTATTCTCGTTTTGGTATTTTCTTACTTATTTTAGTGAGTTTCTGACTCTTTGCTGAATTTTCTAATTTCTTTTTGTTTGGAATTCGTATAATTCGATTGACTTTACATCTCCAGCGCTGGACTCTACATTTCCAGCGCTTGACTTTACATCTCCAGCGCTAGACTTTACATCTTCAGCGCTTGACTTTACATCTTCAGCGCTTGACTTTACATCTCCAGCGCTTGACTTTACATCTTCAGCGCTAGACTTTACATCTCCAGCGCTTGATTTTACATCTCCAGCGCTTGACTTTACATCTCCAGCGCTAGACTTTGCATATCTCCAGCGCTAGACTTTACATCCCCAGCGCTAGACTTTACATCTTCAGCGCTTGACTTTACATCTCCAGCGCTAGACTTTAGATCTCTAGCGCTGGACTTTACATCTCCAGCGCTAGACTTTACATCTTCAGCGCTGGACTTTACATCTCCAGCGCTAGACTTTACATCTCTAGCGCTAGACTTTACATCTCCAGCGCTAGACTTTACACATCTTCAGCGCAGGACCTTAAAAGACACTTTATAATCTGTGTGAGACCAACAGGGCTCCGTAATATATAACGAAGCTGGAATGTCAGTAACTGCTAGTAGCTAGTAGTCATTTGTTAATATATGTTGATCATTGTCATTCTGAATAGTTTCTTTTGCTACCATCGGATTCGGACTTCTTTTAAACTTTGTTTTACTGTACGCATTGCTAAGTATTTATTTACAGGGGGATTGAGATCTCACAAAACATGTTTAATCTCGCCGCATTTTTTGCGCCTCGCCCAAGTCAAGAACCTATAGCCTTTGTTCGCCTTTGTAGTTTTTTAAATTTTGGTTCATTTGTATGTTTCGGAGTTTAGTGCGGCGTCCATTTCGCTGAAATATATAAAGATAAGGAGATGTGGTATGATTGCCAATGAGACAACTATCCACCAAAGTTCAAATGAAGTGGATGTAAGAAATTATAGGCAACCTTCTGGCCTACAACAATTAGAAAAACACAGAGCGTATAGTCGGCTAATAAAGGCCACGACATTAAAAATATCAAGCAGTTCAATTGAGAAAACCAAAGGTCTAATTTATAACAAAACAGTTTACAAAAAACGAATATGACAGACATGAACCAACGACAACCACTGAACTACAGGCTTCTTACTAGGGTCAGGCACATAAAGAATGTGGCGGGGTTAAACATGTTTGTGAGCGCTCAACCTTCCCAAAACCCGTGACAGTCGTGTTACAGCACAACATAAGAACAAACTATAAAAAACAGTTAAAAAGGACTTAACTCATCAGTATACATTATTGTTAAGGGACCAGCTGAAGCCCGCCTCCGAGTGCGGGATTTTCTCGCTGCGTTGAAGACTCATTCGTGGCATTGTGCTGCTTTCTGCTCTTTGGTCGGGTTGTTGTCTCTTTGACACATTCCCCGATTCCATTCTCTAATGTAAGTATATCAATTCGAATTTATTTTAAATTTTATCTTATCCCTCTAAGACTACTCAGAGTAGTTGACGGTCGAATAATAGTCAGCAATGAATGCTGAATTAACGAGCCCGTTCAAAAGTTTAGATGAAAAATTTGAAATTTTTATTCAAAAGAATTTATTAGTATGTTCTTTAAAATATTAAGCAACACGATTTTTTTTTGTAGTAAAACCGACGATAAACACATGAGTGCTCCAGAATGGCATTGTGTTTGGACAGCATATAACACATTGAAAAAAAATACTGCTTATATAACGTAATGTTTGTAGTACACGATGTCTGCTTTTTGTTTGTATAGGTTTTTTTATAATTTATTTGGCACTATTTACTAATTGCAGCATATTAATTTTGTTGTTTATTATAACTGCGCCTCAGAGGTTTATGGCATAAGGTATTTTCCATCTAGCAAACATTTCAGACAAGTAAAAAATGACTGTTATTTGATAGGACTATAGTCGTTCGGGAAAAAGATGTATACTGTTGTTATAAATCTGTTAAATAAGTGTTGGTTTTTCTTCTTAAAAAAACGCCAACTCAGTATCTAATTGACTAAATTTTCGGTTAAGAATTGTGTTTTCCATATATCTGGCAGTTACGTTTGTTAAAGTCGTAGCAAATCCTTCAAGTTTTAGTAATACATCTTCCATTAATACTGTAAAAAGACAGGAGGGATATTATACACATGATTTCAACAATTAGGCTTCCTAATCTTTACCTGATAAAGATTATTCTTAAACCATGTGCCTTGCGTACGTATAACTGTTCTAACATAGTGTGTGTGTGTGTGTCAGTGTGTGAAACTTTTTAATCATTAAAAAATTTACAATAACTTGTTGTCACAATTATTTTTTTTTAGGAGCAGCAAAAGTTTTCCAATTCCATGATGGCTCTAAAAATCAAACAGTGAAGTGTGACCAGGAGTTCTATAACTTTTACCACGATGCCAAGATAGGACAGATGGTGGTACTGATACCGTACGCTCTTTACGTCATTGTCTCCATGTTTATTGTTATTCCTAAAGCAAGTAAGTATGATTATTTAGATGTTTAAATAATGGAGTTGTCGATGACAGTTTTATAAGGAGTAAATAAACGTAGGTTCCAAAAGTACGTAATGTTTCTAGGTAAAGGCATTTCTCGACTAACAAAAGCTGTATATAGCATAGATGGTCTAGTGGTCTAGTGCGCTGGACACCGTGCAGGCGGTGTTGCCACGATGTCTCAGATGCAAGGGTTAGAATCCCGCTGAGGGAAGAACAACATTCAACGTTGTTGGGCTATATTTGAGACGAAGTATATGATCATAATATACTTCTTTGTATATTTCATAAGTACAGTAGTCTTTATATTTAACAAATTGGTGCTTATCCATTGTATCTCTTTTATGTAGTTAGTTCCGCCATACTACAGTTTCGGGTTCTTGGATAAACGTATATATTCTGAACTCTATTGCGTATTTAAGAAATAGTGATATGTCAGAATTTGATGCATTTTATTATTTCCAAAATGATAATCTTTCATTGTTTCGTACATCAGTTTGTTGATTAACTTTTATTTTTGAAATAGCTAGTTTATAAATGGATTTTATATCGTGTCCATCCTTCGCATGTATATTAAACAGAAATATTCTTAGACATCGAGGTATATTTTTTTTGTCACAGAAAATTGGTTTATGCGACATAAATGGCGCCAGTGGGCCAGTCTTCTTGATGCCGACCAAGATGGAATTATCAGTTCGGACGACATGGAGAGAACCAACACCAGGCTTGAACAGCTACGATTGGCCATTGGCGATAGAAAGACGGCTTTGAATGCAGATGCGAAGAAAAAATGGTGGAATGATCATATATTCAAAAGAGGAGCCAACAAACACATCTCTGTTGACGACTATGTCAATTATCTGGAGGGAATTTATAATCCCGCAGATATGGGGAACAAAATGCGCCCAGTTATCACCGGCTTTTTTAATTTCTTCTCTACTCCTGACTTCCGGAAGAAGAATTGCATTCTGGCGGAAGAAGATTTTATAAAATTTTGGGCAATTTTGAAGAACGTCGATGAAGTTCATTGCAGAAATATGTATATTAAACATTTTTTGAATCCTTCGACGATGGAAAGTTTTCTTGGAGATTTTGTTGCCTTGGTTTCCCATAATGATTTCTTTGATGAAAACACCATCGGAGTCCACACTGTATTAAAACCCCCACGATCAGCATCATGTGATTCTATTTGTCATCCTTCATTTTGTGGTGTCTGAACAAGATAAAGACAACACCAGACTCTATCTTGTTAATGTGAGATGTATTACCAACCTTCGAATGATTAACGTGCTACTAACGTGTTGATGTAAAAACATATCTTAAAAATCTAATAACTGTAATAACCATGATAACAACAAGAATCATCATGTGTCAATAGCGAAATTTTAGTATGCATCAATAACTTTGGATTGCATAGTATTATATTATAAGATAATCTGTACATCCGTTATTTTTTTAATGTCCCTGTAGTGCAGTTACTGCGGCTGAGTGTATAAAAAAGTTGTTAAAATTTACACGATAAAAGATATCAAAGACCTGTGTAATTAAGAGCAACTGTAGATCTGTATATGTAGGAGCGGTGTATGACTTTAACATTGTAGATCTGTTGTAGATGTGATTACATAGAATCGGTGTAGATATGTATGAATAGAAGCGATGTATATCTGTATGAGTATGCTCGTTCTAGATGCGTTTAAATAGAATCGGTGTAGATATGTATGAATAGAAACGATGTATATCTGTATGAGTATGCTCGTTCTAGATGTATTTAAATAGAATCCGTGTAGATATGTATGAATAGAAACGATGTATATCCGTATGAGTATGCTCGTTGTAGATGTGTTTAAATAGACTCTGTGTAGATATGTATGATTAAAAGTTATTTATATTTGTATGAGTATGAAAGGCGTAAGAGAATTGCTACTCTGGACTCCTTATTCTCCTAATATTTTCTGTATTGTTTTAAAAACATTGGTTATTCTGTATTCTATTTTTAGTCTTATATTTAAACTTATGCAGAGAAATAGTGAAGAAACATATTGATATAAAAGCGCTGTACCTTTGCTTTTTGTATATTTTTTTGTTGTGCATTTACTGATTTTGTGTCATGGATAGATACCCCATATCCTATGTTTTTATACGAACGCAAAAAAAATTTTGGGATCGTATAATGGTATGATGTCGTCGTCGTCGTCGTCTGCGTCGTCGTCCGAAGACACATTGGTTTCCGGACAATAACTTTAGTTTAAGCGAATGGATCTCTATGAAATTTTTGAGGAAGGTTCAATACCACAAAAGGAAGGTTGGGATTGATTTTGGGGATTATGGTCCCAACCGTTTAGGAATTAGGGGCCCAAAAGGGGCCCAAAACAAGCATTTTTCTAGTTTTAGGATAATAACTTGTGTATAAGTATTTCGATTGCTCTGAAATTGTACCACAATGTTTAATACCACAAGTAGAAGGTTGGGATTCATCTTAGGGGTTATGGGGCCAACAGTTTAGGAATTAAGGGCCAAAAAGGGGCCAAAACAAGCATTTTTCTAGTTTCCAGACAATAACTTGTGTTTAAGTGTATGGATCTCTCTGACATTGTAACACAAGGTTCCATATCACAAAGGGAAGTCTGGGATTGAGTTTGGGGTTAATTGCCAAAAAACATGTAGGAATTAGGGGCCAAAAAGGGCCAAAAACAAGCATTTTTCTAGTTTCCAGACAATAACTTGTGTTTAAGTGTATGGATCTCTCTAAAATTGTACTACAAGGTTCCATTCTACAAAGGAAAGGCTGGGATTGAGTAATGGGGTTATTGCTCTAAGAAGGGTTTCAAAAAGTGGGGGGGGGGGGATTTTTTTCCAATTTTTTTTAGGGGATTCATATTTTTTTTTTTAATTTTTCATATTTCGAATTTTTGAAAATTTTCAAGAAGAAATCTTCCATTGCACAGTATTGCGCAATAGATTTGAAAGATCTTTGACCACATTTATTTTGTTTCAGAAACCTATATTATGTCAAAAATTTGATCACAATCCAAATTCAGACAGTATCAAGCTTGAATATTGTGTCCAAATTTGCCCCAACTGTTCAGGGTTCGACCTCTGAGGTCGTATCAGGCTGCGCTCAGCGAAGCATTTTATTCTTTTTTTAACTGCAGGCCATGGCCACAAACAGATTTCATACTGACTTGCTTTTGTTGGGAAAGGCGTTAAAAGCGTTTTACATTTACATTAAATACCAAGAGGTTTATGAACTGCATAAGGGCACATTTGTTTTTCATATTTTATATTGTATCTGCTTAGACTTTTTGGATGTCAAATTTGTTTTGTACATTTGACAATTTTCGCTATTTTTCACTCAATTATTTTATCTTTTCAAATATGTTTTAATGTTTTGCAATTCTCTAATTTCCAAATAATTTCATATTTTGATTTTAATCATCCATTCTTCCTTAGACCTTTATTCATCACAATGACAATCACATAAACAAATGTTGATATTGTTAGTTATAAGTATTTATGACTAAATTTTAAGGTAAATCAAAATCTCAATATGAAACAAAATATTACAACCGTCTGGCAATGGCGTAGCTATATTGAAAGCAGTAGGTACATTAAGGTCTACATTTGAGTATTATAATTAGAAAAAAAGTTGACAAATATCAAGAGATAAACATAAATCATATCTTTCTCTTATTTTGATTTATAATTGATATAAGGTAAATAATGAGGTCAACATGTGTGGAAGAAAAAAAAACGGTAAAATATTATACTGATATTTTTGAAATTGAAGAATAATCCTGGCATGATAATGATCAACCAATCAATGAATTATGAAATACCACAAAAACACATTTTGCACGTATTGCAAATTAATCGGAATAGGAGAAGCATTTGCACTGACAAATAAATATAAGCTGGTAAATTTGGCTTTTATATGATATATGCATGTACAAAAACGTATGTAGTTTGAGAGTTAACTAGACAAAAATTTATCCTACGAATTTGTTTGAACAGAATTTGAATTTCTATGATAACTCACATTCCTACCTCGTTTTTATATAAAGAATCTATAACCACCTATTACCTCGATATTTAAAATTATATGTAATAAAAACTATAAAGAAGTAGCATTGTAAAAAGTATAATTTAGTTTTTTTTTGTATTGCTTTTATACATTATGTACCTTTTATATGTCCTTTATCAATTGAATTTCATGAATTATTGTATACTTTTTTAGATATCTTCTAAAATTATTGTTTTTATAAACATTGGTGGCCTTCGGCTGTTGTCTGCTCTATGGTCGGGTTGTTGTCTCTTTGACACATTCCCCATTTCCATTCTCAATTTTATTTTAAGTGATAAAAATAACCTTGAATTAACTTCCTAAAGTGATAAGGCAACATTTTTGGCTATTAGGCAGGCATATATATGTTGACCACCAGTATGTAATCTGCGGGTTGTTTGCATAACGACAAAGATAGCAAATGCTGTATTAATTCACCCAAAAACACTACATGCACTTTTATTGATGGACCGTAAACGTCACACCGTCAAATGCATTTTTGTTTTGTATCAAAACAATTATATAAATGGTGTTTTCAGACACTAGCTTTTTGTTTTACACTCAAAGCCAAACTGATACAATAAATCTGTGGCTGTGGAACACAGTTTGTTCATTGGTTAAATAGAATATTTGTTGTAGAACACAGTCAGTACTATCTGGGACTATTATACTAAAACAAAAAGCTAGTGTCTGAAAACACCATTTAAATAATTGTTTAGTTAGTATAATAGTCCAAGGTACTATACAGACAAAAACCTAGTAGTCTTAGACTCCGTTACCATAGTCAGTCGTCTTTAAATCACTCACACTAACAGTTAACGTTCTAGAATATAATTTAATTATATCATCACACTTAGCTACGTTTTTACAAAAATTTAAGCATGGCATCAATATTAATTCTAAACCGAATTTATTTTGAAAATAATATATTCAGGTCTATCACATAAAAAAACACCATAAAATACATCTTTAAAGTGTTGTATTATACAAACATAAACATGTTTAAATATCAGTATCTACTATTGAATGAAGATATCCCAAAAAGGTTACGTAGTTCACTTTAATATTTCAAATTATTTACTAAATTAAAAAAAAAGCCATGTTAATTGTTTATTATTTCGAATTGCGACGAGATCGGTTAAATAAAAAAATAAAATTTTAGATTTTGAAAGAATTATTTGATTTCAGCATTTCATAATCTCTCGTTTGTGCCCATTTTTCAACAATTGCAGTATTACATGAACTCAAAATTACAGAATTTTCAGTATTAATAGGGATTTTGTATCAGGTTATTTAATTTTGTTTTACTTGTTGATGAATTTTGTTCGTTCATAACATACATTTTGAGATTATTATGTTGTTAAGTTTGTGTGTTGTTATTTGATATAATTATTCAGTCTAAATAAATATGAGATCTAATGTTTTATTTCGAATGATATCGTCAAAATACGCATAAATCGACTGGAACATATGCAGTATGGCAACAACAAAAAACAAATAAAACTAGATTTGTAATTGCTAGCAATAACGGATGGCACCCTCGTCCCCCCATTGCCAGGGTTACGGTAGCCATTTTGAAAATTCCAAAGTTAAAGAGCGCATATACACATGCCAATCAACATTTTTGTAAAGTTTCATTAAGTTTGGAGCATTTTGGACATTTTTGCTGTTTCCATGGTAACGGCGGCCATTTTAAAAATTCCATACCCCGATTGCAAATCTGCACATGCTGGTTAACATTATTGTATAGTTCCATTAACATTGGTTCATAAAATTCTGAGATATAAGCTGGATAAAAAAAGTGGAAGAAAAAAAAGAAAAAAAGAAACGTAGAATAACAATATGTCACCCCAACTCCGTTGAGGGTGCCATAACAAGAACAAAACAAAAAACCTAAAGAATATCACAACACATTTGCATACACACGTACAGTGCCACAAAACACATACAAAAACCTGAAATATTATTACGTAACATTACAGCTCAGTGTAACAGAAATCGCCACTCTAAACACAGCCACACATATACATAATTTAATTTGTAACAAGACGTACTCAAACGGTTTTTATTATAACCAACAAATATTGGAATACCGTTTTTAGCAGGTATTTATCAGAGACAATTCTTCAACATAAAGCAGCAAAAATAGAGAGTAAATACCGACGGAGCAATCGATTAGCATAAGTCAAATAAAACACCATCATGGTCAAAAAAAAAAAAGACGAAAAGACAAACAACATTAACAAACAGCAAATAGTAAATTAACAGTTCAAGCAACACAAACCCTACATCAAATCGGCGTGTACTCAAGTGCGCCGGAAGGATAATTAGTTCTTGCTTAGCATGTGGCAACCGTCGTGATGATCATATTAATACAACTCAGGTGGTAAGTATTAGATACAATACAAAGGTAACAAAGAAACAGGCCGGTAACAACTGTTGCCGGATAGTTTTTCTGCACGAGTAGTCAGGTCAAGGTCCGAGGCGATAGCCGAGGACCTTGACCTGACTACAAGTGCAGAAAAACTATATGGCAGGTTGTTTCCGGCCTGTTTCTTTGTTATCTTTGTTTTGTATCTGACTTGTACGACGTTTCAAGAAAGAAGCAGTACATTTTGCATTTAGAAGAGGTATCAAAACTAAACATTTTAGAAACTTAAACGGCCATATACCAGTTAATGTAAGTTACAGTTTAAACACTTTTTTTTCACTTCCCTTCAGCCGAGAGTTTTTTTCTCAAAAAATTCAAGAATCTAATAATTTTATAAAAAAGAACCATTTCAAGTAAAAGATGAATGTTGTACACATTTGAGACTTTTTAAAATGCAACTTCGCAAGTAAGTAATGTATAAATAAGATTTCAGAGGTAAGCAAGCTAACATTTGATTTTTATTGGGGAAAAAACGGAAAGGGGGAAGGGGGGGGGGGGGGTAAAATAAATTTATAATAAACAGGCTTGATCCTTTTTTATTGAAAAAAATGCAGGATGTCCCATTCCATCCCCCCATTCCCCCTTTAAAAAAATCGTAAAAATCGTACGTTTGCTGCCAAATATATGAATTCAATATACGAATTCAACTTATATATGAATTCAATAACAATATAAATGTATCAAAAGAATGAATTTCCTATTTCATTAGTGAATGAAATGTCATGAGAAAATGGATAGTGTCTTGTTATTAGATATATATAGGCATATATTTTGGATTTTTTTTTTAATTTCATTCTTATAGGTTTTTATATGTCTCTGATAGTGTTGATCAGGATTAAACACGTGTTACTATATGATCCAATCGCAGCTTACCGTCCAAAATTGATGACATAAGTTGAATGATTTTTTTCAAGATTTGCTGCCTATTTGAACATGTATTACACGGACACTTTTTATTTATAGGATCAATCGTGCATTGGTGAGTTGATAAGGATTTTATCTTTTGATAAGATTTGATTTTTTTATATATATTTCCTGTCTTTTTTATTGAAATATAAACGTCGGTATCATCATTTCTTTACTTTCAGCATTGTCCAGAATACTATTCATGTCCATATAGTGAAAACAAATACATTTACGGACCGACCATTTAGCTTCATAAGGGGGGTATGTTCTTTTCTGAGTAAGAAAATTATTTAGTTTTTCAACGCTATCACCCAAATATTTTTTTGTCGAAATTAGCACTATTATGTATACGGTATTCGGAAAATCAGGAATCAAAACATTATTTTGTCATCTGCTTGACCACAATACATTTTTTCTCATAAAATTGGGGATCAAAATATCTTTTTTTAGGAAAAAACCATAACCCCCCTTTTGAAGTTAAATGGTCAATCCCTTAGTGTACTGATATGAAAAGTAATTTACTGGAATTGTTTGAAAAAAAAAAATTATTGATGCCAACGTAAATATTTTAATAAAAAAGACAGGAAATATGTCGGTGAAACAAAAACTTCAAATCTTATTGAAATTTAAAGTGCCCTTGAACTCACTGATCATGCACGAGTGATTCTATTCATAAAAAGTGTCCGTGTAACAACTAAAAAGTGTCCGTGTATCATCTAAAAAGTGTCCGTGTAACACCCGTTAATGTACTGTTTTTCTATAGCTCTGCTGGGGGCAAAGTCGTACAAGTTGGATTCGGTAAAGGCACATATTTTGAAAGTATGATATACACAGGACTGTCACATTTAAAAAAAAATGCAAAAGAACGTTTGAATTTAAATATTTATGCGCAATTATGATAATGTCCCCGATGAGGTTACTCATCTGTAATATTTCAGATTCTATATTAGGAGTAATTTTGTGTCAAGTTTAATCGTTTCTTTTATTTGTAACTGTTGAATTTTGTTCGTTCGTTCTTATAGGAGATTCTAATAATATTTTTATGCATAGTTTGTATAGCTTGTAATAAAGCTATTTCCAACTGATGTTTACAGTTTATTCTAATTTTGTGATGTTACGCCACTGTCCCACTTGTTTTACCCCGCCACATTCTATATTGTCCCAAATCAGGGGTCTGTCATATTTGTTTTTTTGTTTATTGTTTATTTCTTAAATCAGGCCTTTGTTTTTTTCTGTTTAATTATTTTACATTTGTTTCTTCATGGCTTTTTGAAGCTGTCTAAACAGCATGGAGTTTTCTCATTGTTTAAGATCGTATGGTGACCTGTAAATTCTTAAACCTGCTTTTTGTGGACTCTGATTGATAGTTGTCTCATTTACAATCAAACAACATCTCAAATTTTAGGTGTATATACACTGCAATAACAATTCTGAAAACAGCAGCACATATTTCTATTTCATTTGTAACAAGACGCACCCAAGTGTACCGTATTATGCAGGACAAATACCGGTACTAGGAATACCGCAACGCATACTTATCGAACACACTACTACATAATGGCAAATACTTTACATACCGTTGGATGCAGCATCATACATGAGGAAGATTGATAACCATAGTGAAACACACATTTGAATGCATGAAATAACCAACCGCAAAAAAAAGCACGATGAACAGATTAAGTAATCAAACAAATGACTTCCCATTAAAAAAACAAAATCATAGTTTGGAGATTTAATTCTGGTTAAAGTGTGTGTGTGTGTGTGTGTGTTGTTTTTTTTACCAGAGATGCAGATCATGGGTGACTGTTTAACGTCCAGCGGCAAAGTATATCCATATTCAGGACGAGAACATGTTGATGCGATATATGTATGAACCCTGCTTTATAGCAGACCGACAAGCTTAACCGGATTTGAAACGTGCTAGTTCATAAGGTAGCAGTCGACAGGAAGACTTTCATCCTACCTTGACACATTATTCTAACTCAGAGCAGACCGTCTTTTTATCTTACTACGTAATTCCGCGTGTTTAACGGAGAAGCAGCAAATACCAATTTAAAAGTCTTTGGTTTGATCCAGCCGCATAGTCAATTCACGACCTTCCGCACTCAAGGCACCACAAGACCACAGGGAAAATGAATGGATTACAATTTGACTGATTTATCGCTGTTCGTACAGAACATCAATTATATTCAAATTCGTTCCTCAACTGAACAAAAGTATTTAAACTTTTTAAAAACACAACACTCTTGCAAATATTGTATACTTAAAAATACCAAAAAACGCAATTTTATTATGGGATTAGGTTGCCAGATGTAAAAATTAATGTAAAGAAAAAGTCTGTCATTTGATATCTGCACTGACCTTTGTCTCATTGAAATAACTAGACAACACTTAAACTATCAGCTTTCAAATAATTCAAAACAAAATATATTCTCGAAATTAAACAATTATTTGCTCGTTTTGATGACGATACAGTCAGTAAATTAGTGATTTATCATACAGCAAGTACAGTAAATTTTTTGCTTCTAGCAAATAGTGCATACCAAGTAAATAATTTTTGAAACTTTTAACCGGTAAATAGTCTTTTTGAGACAATTTCGTTTAAAAGTAAATGTTTTTGTGTATAATTTTATGAAGAAAATACAAACTGAGGTATAATACAATAAGTGATGGACGGGAAGGAGGTAAATGCACTTATTACTGAGCTTCGAATGATTATAAAAGTGTTGTTAAGTGAACCCACCTACGACCAATTATAATCATACCAGTATAGAAGCAATGACCGACCTCTAAGCTGATGATACCCTCGGGGACTAGCAGTTACATTGTAAGCAGAAGCGGTAACAATATACCACAAACTCTACTGCGTAAGTAGAGTGAACATCATTGCAACAATGTCAACTTTGATTCAACTGCGGGAGTTTGTTAAAAAAAATGTTAATAAATTCGAATTTGTATCATATAGCTAATAATTTGACACAGAATAATGCTTGCGTATGTCAAAATTTAAAAGTTGCTAACTCGTTTACCAACCATGAAAAAAAAAAAGATTTCTTTACTGTCTGTTACATCATATATTTCGTTAA